GTTATATATTCAGAGAAATTTATTCTTTTTATGCATTCACTAAATATATTATTTCATATATTTTATAGCTTTTAATCTTTTGTATTAATTCTATCTGAAGTTAAAAGTTAAGAATTGCTACTTGCTACTAGGTTTGTAGAATTTTCTGGGCATAATGATGCCAAGGGACAATTTTCATCTTTTGAAATAAAAGAGAAAAGTTTACAATGTGAAGTGTAGAGAAGAGTGTGTATTTATTCACAGATACTGTACTGGTAGGGCTTCTTTTGTGGCTCAGCTGGTAAAGAATCTGCCTGCAATGCTGAACACCTGGGTGAGATCCCTGGTTGGGAAGATCCCCTGGAGAATGGAACAGCTACCCACTCCAGTATTCTGGCCTGGAGAATTCCACTGACTGTATAGTCCATGGGGTCGCAAAGAGTTGGACCAACTGAGTTGTACACTTTCACTGTACTGGTAAGAAACCCTGCCTGCCAATGCAGAAGATACGGAAGACATGGGTTCGATCCCTGGGTCAGGAAGATCCCTCAGAGTATGAAATGACACCCCACTCCAGTTCTTGCCTGGAAAGTTCCATGGACAGAAGGGCCTGGCAGGCCACAGTCCATGAGGTTACAAAGAGTCGGACACATCTGAGGGCACATGCATGCACACAAATTGTACTGGAAGTTAAGGCAGTGTGCTGTGGCGCAAAACAGTGGTGTGTGACTTAGAAGGACAAGGAGTCTGGGTAAGGCAGATGACTCTGCCAGGGGGACTCAGATGTGAGAGAATCCTCAGCATAGACAGACTTAACAAAAGAACTTCAGATACCCTTTCCCAGTAGGTTCTAGTTACCTTGTTCTATTCTGTGACCTGAACTGAGGTTCTGATCCTAATCTCAATCTTTAAACCAGCTTCTAGTTTTCCTAATCTTTCCATTCGTCTGGATACTCAGTCTTATCATGGAAACAATTTTGGTAGCTTGATTCTGGTGTCCTGTATCCTAAAAGCTCTGACAGCTCTCCATCTCTTTGTCACCATCAGTACCGGATAACTTGACCCATCTGCCTGATTATCTCCACAGTGGATTGTTTGACATACCAGATTCTGCCACTCTGATTAACCCTGCCACTGGGATCAGTTCGGCAGAAAGGGTCTCATCCCCTCCCATTGACATTGTGCTAGTGAGGCAGAAATAATGGATAATGTTTTAAACGTTGCTGACAAGGCAAAGGACATTGATAATGAGAGTAGAGAAGTTAACTTTCTGAAGAGCAAGAAAATTACTTGGAAGAAGGCTGATTCAGCCTTTGAGTCACTAATTAATTTTTGAAAAAGACAGAAGTGTCACAGAGCCCAGGAGGTCATACAGCTGAACATTCTTCATCTTAGTTCAATAAGAAAGAGGTGAATGGAAACAAAAACTTGATATTAGAGACTTTTTCCATAAAGTAAGCTCTGCCTATCTCCTGGAGCTAGTATTTAGTGAGCAGTAAGTTAAATATAAAAATAGCTAGTGCCATAGAACAAAAATTGGTATTTATTACTATACCCCTTGGCCATAGTATGTCATGTTTACTAAGGTATACAAGTTGATATAATATCTTTGAATTATATTTTCTCTCAAGAAAAGTTTTTGCATTAACATTGCATAAAGATTCAATTCCTTCAGTTATTTATTATTATCCTTTTAGAATAACCCTTGAGGTTGATACGAAATATTTATCAATGTTTAAATCAAAGGCTTTTTTTTTTCAGTTCAAATATTTGTTTTTCCCATTTATTTTTATAAGTTGGAGGCTAATTACTTTACAATATTGCAGTGGTTTTTGCCATACATTGACATGAATCAGCCATGGATTTAAATGTGTTCCCCATCCCGATCCCCCCTCCCGCCTCCTTCCCCATCCCATCCCTCTGGGTCTTCCCAGTGCACCAGCCCTGAGCACTTGTCTCATGCATCCAACCTGGGCTGGTGATCTGTTTCACCCTTGATAGTATACTTGTTTCAATGCTATTCTCTCAGAACATCCCACCCTCGCCTTCTCCCACAGAGTCCAAAAGTCTGTTCTGTACATCTGTGTCTCTTTTTCTGTTTTGCATATAGGGTTATCATTACCATCTTTCTAAATTCCATATATATGTGTTAGTATACTGTAATGGTCTTTATCTTTCTGGCTTACTTCACTCTGTATAATGGGCTCCAGTTTCATCCATCTCATTAGAACTGATTCAAATGAATTCTTTTTAATGGCTGAGTAATATTCCATGGTGTATATGTACCACAGCTTCCTCATCCATTCGTCTGCTGATGGGCATCTAGGTTGCTTCCATGTCCTGGCTATTATAAACAGTGCTGCGATGAACATTGGGGTGCACGTGTCTCTTTCAGATCTGGTTTCCTCGGTGTGTATGCCCAGAAGTGGGATTGCTGGGTCATATGGCAGTTCTATTTCCAGCTTTTTAAGAAATCTCCACACTGTTTTCCATAGTGGCTGTACTAATTTGCATTCCCACCAACAGTGTAAGAGGGTTCCCTTTTCTCCACACCCTCTCCAGCATTTATTGCTTGTAGACTTTTGGATAGCAGCCATCCTGACTGGCGTGTAATGGTACCTCATTGTGGTTTTGATTTGCATTTCTCTGATAATGAGTGATGTTGAGCATCTTTTCATGTGTTTGTTAGCCATCTGTATGTCTTCCTTGGAGAAATGTCTGTTGAGTTCTTTGGCCCATTTTTTGATTGGGTCATTTATTTTTCTGGAATTGAGCTGGAGGAGTTGCTTGTATATTTTTGAGATTAATCCTTTGTCTGTTGCTTTGTTTGCTATTATTTTCTCCCATTATGAAGGCTGTCTTTTCCCCTTGCTTATAGTTTCCTTTGTTGTGCTGAAGCTTTTAAGTTTCATTAGGTCCCATTTGTTTATTTTTGCTTTTATTTCCAATATTCTTGGAGATGGGTCATAGAAGATCCTGCTGTGATTTATGTCAGAGAGTCAAAGGCATTTTAATATACACTTTATAAAAAATTTCCACAGAATGAATAATTATTTGCTTAAATTTTACATGTCAGTTATTATCATGGTTATTAGAAATGTATAATATATACATTTTATTAACATGTATAGAATAAAATTTTCATTTATAAATTATTTTAAAATTTAATTATTGAATATTATCTAAAATTTCCTTTTTATATTTCATTTTTATACAATATGTTAATCACATGTTTTAAGGTTATTAAAATTATATGTTCAATTTTTTAGTTAAATTATTTTAAGTATTCTTAACTCAGTCTTCAAAAGTTTCAGTAAGAATTTTAACTTCATGCTGTGACCAATAAAGTCTACTGTTCTCTTTTCTTATCTGATGGGACATTGTTATTTCACAATAAAATTTTTGCTTTAGTTTTTAGCGGAAGTCATTTTCAACATGATTATAGAATAGTAGCTAAAATGTCATTAAAATCAGATTGACATTTTTGTCACAGCTAATGCTTAAAAAGAAAGACAAATTTATATTCAAATAGAGTTTATTAAATTGTTTTGGGGAAAAGAATGCAGAACAAAATGAGTAAATCATAGTGGTCATTGTATTGGGAAAACTTGGTATTGATAAGTATAAAATTGCAGTTATATTATTGTCCTTATAAAGACACTGTTACTTTGTAAAATGGTAAATCCATATAATTGAGTACTGTGAAAAAAAAAAGGCCCAGTAAAAGTTTCAAGAGAAATATGCAATCTGTGTATATTTTAAATTTTTGTTAAAATTCATTGGTGTTTCTGTTCAGCCACCAAGTCATGTCTGACTCTTCATGACCCCATGGACTGCAGCATGCCAGGCTTCACTGTCCCTCATATTCCACATAAATATGTTAAAATTCATATTCATGTGGAGTAAATACAAGCAAAAACAAAGTTCAAGCAACAGAAAGCCAATATTGCTCACTCCTATTACCACACGCAGGAGAAACTGCCGAGGGCAAGTCCTAGACCCAGGATGTCTGATAGAGACTGTGTGGGGGTTGGCACGCCCTGAGAGAGATGCACACTCCAAGCTGAATACATAAGTAAAACTGAGGCAGACATTTTTTTCAAGGCATTTTAGAAAGTAGAAAAGTTCTTAGGCTTTTCAGCAAATTTCAGATAAGTGAGTTTAAAAAGGGAGGAGGACTGCACTGTGTGCATACAGTTTGATCACTATAGGAGTCAGAGGGCGGGAGGAGAAGGGGACCACAGAGGATGAGATGGTCGGATGGCATCACCCACTCAATAGACATGGGCTTGGGTGGGCTCTGGGAGTTGGTGATGGACAGGGAGGCCTGGAATGCTGCAGTTCATGGGGTTGCGAAGAGTCGGACACGACTGAGCGACTGAACTGAACTGAACTGAACTGATAGGAGTCAGAAGATTAGCAAAAAATCCAGAAAAAGACAAATTCAGTTTGTACCTGCATAGACAAGATTCCAGGTAAGAGCATTTGAAATGTATTGAATGCTGATTAATCCAGACCATTTATTAATGTCTATTTTTTATATCATCTGATCAATTGTTCATTGCGTTTCTATGAAGAGATTGCTTTTCTCTACATCTTATATATTAGGAAACTGAGAGTTTGAGTTGGTAAATAACATACCCAAGGAGCTTACTGATAATTCTTAACAGAGAAAGGACAAATCTCTATTCCTTTTTCTATTTTGACCCTTCTGTTTTTAATCCATGTAATCAAGAACTTCAGCTATGCTAGACTGCCACCTCAGATTAGCGTTTCTGTGCTAAGTGAAGAAGCATTAATGGACTGCATATATATTGCTGAATGTAAATATGCCCAAGTTAACTGAAAGTTAAAGTACAAATAATTCTTACTGTGCAATATAAGTTCAATCATTTTCAATTATTGTTTTCATTGTCTTTATCAACTCTTAAATTAGAACACCCTTCTAGGTGTTGCTATGGATGGAATATCTTGCCTGAGTCTAGCTCAACATACAAGTCAAGATTCTGATTCTAGAATAAGCAGACTTGGAAATACATGACTCTAACAAAATGTTACTTGAATAAGGACTATTTTTTTAAACCTAAATTAAATTACCAGAATTTTATTTAGTCATGGAATGACTGACTATTTTTCTGAAGATAATCTACTAGAGAACCAAAGTTGAGTATGATACTGAAAAGAAAAAAAAAAAAAATAAACGAAGCCTATAGGTAAGTCTAGAAAAGGCATGGAACTGCTATTTACCAAAGAGTTTGGAAGCTTAAGAGAAAACTGTATTAGATAAAACTGAAAAGATAACAAAAGTATATAGCTGTTACAAAAAAATCCGGCTCTCTTCACAACTGGGTAGCCTGGGGAAAAAGAATGAATGACTACCAGATTCCAAAGGCCATCTCTGATGATTAAAGTACAAGATGATTGGCAAAAATAAAAAGAAGATTCAAGACTGCAGGATGATTTTTTTCCCCTTGAGTTTACTTTGAAAATGAGGAAAATCTCTATTAGAACTAATCAAATCATATTTAAAGACTTGTGTTTCACTAGAGGAATATTTATATAAGAATATTATCTTTTATTTAATACTTTCAAACTTAAGCATTCCCTTTATAGATATGATTTTTATGTGTAAGATACATTTATGCATAAAATTTGTATTCATTATTCACTAAACCTTTCAGATTTATAAATGCATTGATAATAATTGCATTTGCTTTTATAATGTCCTCATGCAATATGTAAGAGATGAACTAATCAAAGTGTTGCCTTGCTCTGGTCACTGCTACAATCACCACCTCCAAAATGTCCATGGTGTGATAACCTTGCCACTATTTACAGACTGCTCCTAACTACAATTACCAACATATTTAATAGAGTTAAGGTGGAGGCATCTATACAGTAAACACGGGAATTAAAACTGATTTTTAACCGAAATAGATGATAATGCCATTTTCTCAATTTAATGTATCCTCATTTATTTCACTAAGGTAATCAGGGTAAACTAACTTTAGTAGGTAAGTCAGTAAACAGCCACATAAATCCAAAATTTACAATTATTAAACCCATGATAATGGACAATAACATATGACTTAGTGACTAAACAACAATACATTGACAAATAGTTTGTCTCAGGAATTCCTTACAGTCACCCTGAGAAGTATGTTCAGTGATAGTCATTCCCACTTCATAGATGTGGAAATTGAGGCTTAGAGATATAAAATAATCTAGCTAATTCACACAGTCAAAAGGTGGGGGAACCAGGATTGAAGACTTGGCTGAATTTAGCCTCCAGATTTTGTGCAGGCATCACCTATGCCCATACATCATGAGAGCTTGGCACTGGCATTTGATGGAACAAATGGGTGTATATAAGTTTAACAATTTGCATTTTAATTTTAATAATAATTTTTTAAAAGAGTTGCTTGATTTTCATTGAAATAAAACCATGAGCAATGTCATGTGGTAGCCGAGATTTCAAAAATTCTAGCACTAAACTACCTGGATTCCAATCCTGCCTCAACAAGTTATCTTATCAATTGTATTGTTTAACCTCTCTGTGCCTCGGTTTCCTCACCTAAAAGTGGTGATTAAACAGTACCTATCTTACAGGGTTGTTATGAGGATTAAGTGAATAGTTCACATAAGTAGGGTAGACACTCAAATATTTTTCTAAGAGGATTCAAAGTAAGAAAGGGCAGAACCACATGAATTTAAGCCCAGTACTTTAACTTTCTAGAATCAATAAATATTTAAATGGAAAGGACATGCAGTGAAATGACAAATAGAATGACAAAAATTAATGTTATATTTAGAAATTTACAAATAAAATTTTTAAAGAAATGCACTCTATATTTAATGTAGTTTGTGACAAAGAGTCAATTGTTCAGAGCTGTTTGTAATCTGAATCTGTTCCTATCTGTATCATTATAAATTTTTTATTTGAAATAGTTAGTGAATAGATATGCTTTGCCTGTATGGCCTCTATTGTCTATCAAATTAAGGGCCATAAGGCACAAAATTACAAAGTAAAAATGATTATTTGCAGACTAGCTTCTCCCCAGAATGTAATCATTCACAACTATTCAGGTTTACTTCCTTTTCATAAAGGATCATTGAACATTTATAAAAATGTCCTGATGATGTTTTATATTTAGAACAAAACTAGAATCAAGCTTTATGCAGTATAAAGCAGTTCTTGGCAATAATTTAGGACAAATTTCTTCCTGATATGGAGCATCAAATCACCCTTGGATTAGATTTAAATCCCTAGACTCTACTAATGATGAACCTATTTTCCTTTTGATAATTCACAAAACTTCTAAAAGGATCAAGAGTCCAGAAAAAAATCTTTAACCTCATCACAGGGTACACTAAATGGATAAAGTACATGTTCCATGTTTAATTTTTTTTTATTAAAATAGGCATATCTAATTTACTATATTAATCACACATTTTCCCCTGTGGTCCTAAAGTTAAACTCAAATTTCTTTTATACTTTACACACAAACAATTATATTTTTGCTAGAAGTTCCTAGTTATTTACACATTATTAAATATTGTTTAATACTACATTTCTTATTGTACCTTCATATTTTATAGGTCTTTGAGATCACTGAGCTTTTGTTATCTAAAAGTTGAATAAGAAGAATCAGCACATAATTAACTCAGTGATAAAATAATGTGGTGCTCAAAATACAGTTCAGAAGTTTGAGTCTAAACTCTTCATCAAAATTAGTTCAAGAATTTGAAGAGAAAAAGTCTCAAAGATGCCTCACTTACCACTCATTTATGTTCAAGGGAAGATTACAGCCGTTTTTCATTGCGTGGTGCTTTACAGTTTCCAATCACATCCATGCACATCCTTCTAATTTTTCAAAGGTCGGGAGACTAAGAGTCAGCAGTGACATCCCTTGTGTATAGGAGATGTGGGCTGCATCCTCCAGGCTTGCAGGATGATGTCACTGCAGGCTGGTGGGCCCATGGATACAGGATGATGCTAGGTTGAAGCTACCCCTTCAAAGTAAAGATACAGGTGCCTTAGGCCATTAGAAAACAGAAGTGGGGGTCTGAAAGCAAAATAGCAGTTAAGTTTAAGTGCAAACGCTTGATTCCTACCTAATGCAAGGAAGCACTTTAGCATTCATAAGGACCCGCTCTGGGATCTATGTGCTACATTACCTGACTCATAGCTCAACACTAACCAGCCTGGGATCCACTTAAAGTGATGTCCAAACTTATTTTCTGCCCTCTGATCCCACCATTTATCCCCCAATAACGTTCTGAGCGTTATTCTTTGTGCGGTCATTATTGGCTATTTCCATCCCCTAAGTACTCTGCTGTTTTCAGCTTGCTTACATGTTAGGTGTCCTTATGCAATTAGGTCCTTGCTTACATGTTTTCTCTCTGGTAAGAATTCTATTTCCCCAGCCCTCTTATTGTTTTCATGGTGTTAAAATCTGTATCTGGAGAAATCTTACTTTCCTTTACAAGAGGTTAATATTCCTTTGCCCTGAACAACCACAATTCGGTGGATATTTAGGTGTACAATTACTATATTCCAATTTTTTGGTTAAAAACTACATCTTGAATACATACTTCTCACACCCTTTATTATAGCCCACAATATATAGTAAATGCAGTATTTATGGAAATAAGCTTTCTAGAAGCATGCAACTTCAAGTTCAAATCCAGATACTGTCACATTCTAGCTACATGACCTTAAGTATTAAAACTTTGACTAAAATACATTTTCTCTTAAAATTGTGAATCAAAATACCTATCTTGCAAGGCTGTTGAAAATTGTGTAACAATGTTTGAAAAAATGTATAAAATTATTGAAAACAGTCTTTTCATTTATTCTCTATGTTTATTCTTTCCTTATTTTTCTGCAAATCAAATAATCATGTGCACAATTAGCCTTGGATTATCAAGGGTAATGTAACAACTGCTCTCTTGGTCTATAAGAAACTGCTCGAAATAGCATTAACATCCTATAAACAGTAAGCCATTTTAGTCATTCTAATTAGAGTAAAAACATTGTCCGTATCTTCCAAGAAGAAAACTAAAGTTGATTTTCCATCTGGGGCTATTTGATTTTTAAATTGATAGATATCAGGTTGATTTTGATTTATCCATGATTTCTGTACCTACAACTCATATGTAAGTCATAGAAATGTACTGAGAGTGGCTGAAAAGCTTGAGTAAAATTTGCATGAAAACTTTGCTCCAGTTTACCTAGTAAAGAACCTGACTGAAAACAAATCTTCAGGCACTCATTCTAAGGTGGACCTGTGCTGGATAGTCTCTGTCCTTGGTTTTGCTTAGCAATATAATCAGAAGATTATGGAATGTCTGGAATTTGTTTTCTAAGTCTACACAGCCTAAATAATGGTCACACTTATGGTTGTATGGCATTTAAATATACTGCTTCCCAAGGAGTTTGGTTTCACTTTGGGGAATGTTCAATGATCACAATTGAACTTCATTACTATCTAAGTATCACAATATACTGAAGCATCTTAGGGAGTTATTTTCAAGTGCCCCTACACAACACACTGGTGAAAAAATAGTCAAAGAAGCTTGCATTTAATGTCTCTCCACCTCAATCCTTACCCTTATTAGGTCACAAGAGTAATGTCTAAAATGCAACAGAGACTGGAAGACTGAAGCTTTCAAGACTAATGGAGAGACTTGATGGTAAATATTTTAAGTTTGATGAAAGCCTTTTTAACTAAAGTTCCCATAAATATTGCTTTCTTATACCCAAGTTAATAGCCCAGATACATTTAGATATTCATTCAAGATAAAATGAAAGTAGTAACTTAATAATACTCATAAGTATCTATTTTAATATTAATTTAAAAATAAGAATTTGCACAATCATACTACCTCCTCACCAATTTATGTTTGGGGCCATGAGATATGAATTCCAATATCATAGTAATCAAGAGAAAAATGGACGATGTAAAAAAGGAAAGCAAGGGAGGGTGCCAACCTTATGTTACTGCCCTTTATGTGCTTCTCCACCTAAGGTTAGAAAAGTTATCCTATAATGAAGTGCTTTTCCCTTCCTGGGGATGAGGAAGCCTCATTTAGCCAACATACATTAGTGTTCAATACATCACAGCCATTATGTATACAAACACGAACATGTGTCCCCGCTCTTACATTCTAGCGGGGAAGACAGGTGTGTAAATACATTATTATAATTCAGCTGGTTTAAACAGCCCAAGAGAAGTAGGAATCTAGTATGTCAGGGCACCATAATTCTTAAAATTAAAGCAAATTCAGCCTAACATAAAACCTTGCAACTTGTAAACATGCAACTGTAATGGATAAATTTATGTAGTAACAGTTACACAGAAAATCAACAGGAAATTGCAGGGTCACATGGTAATTCTATTTTTAGTTTTTTGAGAAACCACTCTTCTGTTTTCCACAGTGACTGTACCAGTTTATGTTCCCGTCAACATTGCCCAAGGATTGCCTTTACTCCACATCCTAGCCAGTATTCGTTATTTGTGTTCTTTTTGCTGATAGCTATTCTGACAGGTGTGATGTCTTGTCTTATTGTGGTTCTGATTTGCATTTTCCTGATAATAACCAATGTTGAGCATCTTTTCACGTGCCTGTTGACCATCCACATTTCCTCTTTGGAAAAATGTCTATTCAGCTCTACCTATTTAAAATCAGGCTGTTTGCTTTTTGGTGTTAAATTGTATGCATTATTTATATATATTGGATATCAACCCCTTATTGGTCATATCATTTGCAATATTTTCTCCTGTTCAGTAGGTTGTCTCTTCATTTTATTGATAGTTTCCTTTGCTGTGCAAAAACTTATAAATTTAATTAAGGTCCCATTTTTTGGGGGGAGGGGCTTTCATTTTTTTTTTGCTTTAGGGACAGATTCAAAAATATAGTACTATGACTTCCGTCAAAGAGTCTTCTGCCTATGTTTTCCTCTAGGAGTGTTATGGTTCCCAATCTTACATTTAGGTCTTTAATTCATTTAGAGTGTATTTTTGTACATAGTCTTAGAAAAACAGTGTTCTAGCATATGATCCAGCAATCCCACTCGTGACTATACATCTGAAAGTCACAAAACACTAATTTGAAAAGATACATGCCATAGCATTGTGTACAATGGTCAAAACATGGAAGCAATCCTAATTACCTAGATGAATAGACAAAGAAGACACGAGATATATACATAGATATACACACATACACATATGCACACAAGGAAAATCACTCAGCCATAAAAGGAATGGAATTTGCCATTTGCAGCAACATGGAAGGACCTCGAGGGTATGACACTAAGTGAGGTTAGTCAAACAGAGAAAGACAAATAGCATATGATATCACTTACATGGGGAATCTAAAGAATACAACAAGCTAGTGAATATAAAAAGAGCAGCAGACTCACAGATATAAAGAACAAAGGTGTGGCTACCTGTGGGGAGGGGGAAGAAGGGAGGGACAACATAGGGGTAGGAGGTTCCAACTACTGTCTATAAAATAAGGTACAAGGACATATTGCGCAACATGGGGAATATAGTCAATATTTTAGAGCAACTATAAATGGAATATAACCTTTAAAACTGTGAATCACTACACTGTACACCTATAAAATATAATAATGTATATCAACTATACTTCAATTTAAAAAATTTAAAAAAGAACTAAGTGATGCAAATTTCTCCTTCTTAATAATTAAACTTAGCTTCAGTTTTCTGCTTCTAAGTAGATCCAATTATTTTATTGTTAGTTGTGTATTTTTTACTTAGCTCAAATATAAAAGGAGATATTGAAATGTCTACTGTAAAATCTATGAATTTGATATTCAAAAATCAGAGTTTAATTATTAGTTAATAAACTGATGCTTTTCTGTGAATCCTTGTGTTAAATACTGAGTTTTAAAGGTCTGTAGCACAAAATGCTCCTGGCCTAAAAGAGTTCAATTAACATAAATTTCAATGTAATTTGTTACATTCACTCACCATAGGAAATTAAATGAATGTGAAAGCACAGCAGCTTATGAAATTTAGAAAACAGTTATTTGTTTTGGGGATATTTAAATTTAGTGTATTTATGTATTTCCTGACCTATTATAGACATCTGGTAAAGAATCCGCCTGCAACGCAGGAGACCCCGGTTCGATTCCTGGGTCAGGAAGGTTCACTGAAGGAGGGATAAGCTCCCCACTCCAGTATTCTTGGGCTCCCCTGGTGGCTCAGCTGGGAAAGAATCTGCCTGCAAAGTGGGAGACCTGGGTTTGATCCCTTGGAGGAGGGAAAGGCTACCCACTCCAGTACTCTGGCCTGGAGAATTTCATAGACTGTGTAGTCCATGGGATTGCAAAGACTCAGTGACGACTGAATAACTGTCACTTTCACTTTTCACAGACATCTGGGAATCTAACAAGATTTCTTAATTTGCTGGTTATGGTGGTCCTCTGACTATCTCCCTTGGAAATACCTATATCTTACTGGAAACAAAGTATTCTCACATCACTTTAGAAGATAATATTGTTTTCCTTGAAAACAATTTTTTTTTTAAATAAAAATACTTTAAAAATAAAGTCTCTATATGGAATTTTATTAGTATGTGATGGTTCTTTTGAGTTTCCAGTTTATATTTCTGTTATACTAAACTTCTATTGGACTAAAGAGTCCTTTGGTAGAATAGTTTCCTTCCTGTCAAAAGCAATGTTTATGATTATATTAAATATCTGTATGCCTTTCAAAGTGTGCCTAGGTGTTCCCTTGAATGTCTAATGTTAAACTAGTGATGTTTCTTTTGTGTTCTTAAGTTATTTTATAAACTTTGTTAATGAATCTTCTATAGAGAATAATCTTCTGTACTACTTATAGTTTTAGATTTTGCCACCTGTTCACATGAAATGATGCCATTATGCATAAACAAAATAATGTTTAAGATGATTATATTCTGTATAACCACATTGAGATGGAGATCAATCACACTTTGTTTAGAATTTGACAATTGTATTAGCAACACTATACATTAGAATATAGAGAAAATATATAAATACTAGAGAGTAAGATTTATTTTATGTACATGGTTAATGTGACAGAGAAAATGATGGAGAGGTGGAGAGACTGAAACAAATATATTTACAAGATTTGTATATATCTATGTGTGTATACGGAGAGAGAGGGAATACACATTGAATGTTCTGAATTTGTGATATCATCGATTAACTTCAAAGGTTAAAGTTAAAAGAATTATAGATAATTTCAAAATTTACAGTAATGAGAACTAATAGGAAAGTAGGCTTTCAGAATCTGCAGAATTTATAGCAGATTTGGCTTCAGAATTCAGGGCCACCTTTATCCAAATCTCTAAAAAGCAGGAAAGGATGAGCTATTATCTAGACTGCATATGTTCCTAAAACAAAACAGATACAGATTTCCTAAATTAAGTTTCCAGAATATTAATGATGTTAGAAGTCTGAGTTCAGTCAGTGAAACAAAATCCATGCTACGTAGCTTGTTAAAGAGGTATTAGTATGGGGAGCTATTTACACAGGGAAACTTTAAAAATTCAAATAGAATATGGTGAGGCAATTTACATGGAAGATCTGATGTTACCAGGGCTTGGGACCATGGAAGGGGCTGAGACAGGGGGTAGTGGGACCACAGACGGGAAATCGCTCAGCAGAAACCGACATTGGTCCTTTACACGCCCGTCAGGGAACGAGGGGAAAACGACCTGGTCCCCGCTCTCACTCTCTAGTCTCCCGCCGTCATCTCATTGGCCAACTCTAATCTGCAACTATTTAGTGTGTGAGACAGTTTGCTGGGTTAGTCTCCTATGATTTGGAGTAGGGTGGGAAGGACAGGGACTGGATTGTGTAAATAGACAGGTGACAAGCATACATCACCTCTTTATTGGAGAAGTTTAGACGTTTACTTTCATTCTCTATTGCCTTCACAAAAAAATGGATAACATAAGTGTTTTTGTTATTAAACAAAATGACTGAAAACTTATCCCTAAGCATTCTTACGGGAAAAGAAACCAAATTATTTTAGTTTGGAAGAAAACCTTATAGGTATGAAATCAGAATGGTGTGCTGTGCTGAACAAGCAAGATTTATGACATAATCTTGACACATTTATCCCTGCCCTTTTAGATATTATTCCATGGGGATAATCGTATCTTGAATGAGACCAAAGATATATTTCATGCTTTGCTTCTCAGTGGTTAAATGAAAGTTCTACATCTATACTTAAATAAACAACCTCATGCCTCAATTCAGGAATTTAAATATCCAATTTCATGAAGTAATCAAAACTTCAAATTTGACCCAGAATGAATTCTTCTATCCTCTCCCAGCTCTGACCTGGTTCAGGCTAAGAAGTTGCCTGGGGCCTCCCTCTTCTGCTCATTCCCTTCCCCCAGTTCACTTCCACCGCACCAGCTAGTGATTTTTCACTCCTCAAAAAAAAATAGAAGGAAAGTAGTTGGAAGAAAACAGAGGATGGACCTGGTCAGTTTTGATTTAGCTGGGTTGCTCCCTGTATCTAAGCCTTACAGATCCTGAAATCTGTTTCTTCTCTTCTGTCAACTATTCAGTTTCCCCTACAAATCTGTATCTCCTCCATTACTCCTGACCTGGACAAGTACCTTTTTATTTCCAAGTAACATACATGTTATGACCAGTGCATTCTCTTGGCAAAACTCTATTAGTCTTTGCCCTGCTTCACTCTGTACTCCAAGGCCAAATTTGCTTGTTACTCCAGGTGTTTCTTGACTTCCTACTTTTGCATTCCAGTCCCCTATGATGAAAAGGACATCCTTTCTGGGTGTTAGTTCTAAAAGGTCTTGTAGGTCTTCATAGAACCATTCAACTTCAGCTTCTTCAGCGCTACTGGTTGGGGCATAGGCTTGGATTACCGTGATATTGAATAGTTTGCCTTGGAAATGAACAGAGATCATTCTGTGATTTTTGAGATTGCATCCAAGTACTGACTGAACATACATGTGACTCTTTCTTCAACTTCTGGGCACAAAGATGACTTCAGATTCTTCTTGCTAGAGGCTTCTCACTGTCAAGGACTTTTGATGACCAAAAACAGGCATTGTTTTTCAGGCACACACCTTACGTTCACAAGAGACCTGGAGTGCATGGAAGCCCAAATCAAGAAAATGGTAAAAAAAAAAATAATTGCTAACTATAGTATCAATGAACTAAAGAACTAAGCTTGAGAATCAGGTAGCTGATCAATTCTCTTAAGAGGAGAACTCAAGAATGTCACCCAGGTTGCATATTAAAAAAAAAAAAAGGATTATAACTATTTCTCTATCCCTTGAGTCACCTGGTTCAAATTCATAACCCTTAGACAGAGGCTATTTGTTAAATTTAAGTCTTATGCCTGCCCTTTGTCTTTACCCAATTTCAGAGAATTAGGTAAAAGAATATTTCAGGAACCCTTCCATTTGTGTAAGCATTTAAGTTTACTATCCCACAAAAATTGTACATAATGTGGACCTTTATCTATGGTGGTAAAAGAGAAAGCCCCACTGTGTAAGCACTTATCAAACTTCTGCTTAAATCCTGTTCCCTAATGTTGAATTTGGAAAAGCAGATCAGTGGGTCAAACCCAGATTTAAGGCACTGAGAAAGAGACCCCAACTCTTGCTTAGAGAAGCTGAGAAATACAAAGGAAAGGAGAAATGAATAATGTGTGATCTTCTTTTGACATGCCAGTGATAGTTCACAAAAAAATTTGCTCCATGGCCCATATTCAGTCTTCCACTAGAAGTTTCCAAACACTTATTTAATATTAAGCACTATGTTGGAGATTTAATTATAAATATGGGAAAATGCTTATTCATAAGAACTATTTACTTTGAGGAGACAGAGGCCAAATTGAGTGATTGATACACTATATGTTATATGCTATGGTAAGAACATGCACAGTACTGCAATAACATTGAAAATAACATTGAAGGAGTGAACCCAACTTTAGTGGAAGAGTAAACAAAAGTTACAGTCTGGAAAAGATGATATAAAGGTGTGAGTTAGAAGAAAATCAGGACCTATTATTATTCTACTGACATTTTTAGCCAATTTACAAAGCAAAAAAAAAAAAAAAAAAAAANTACAATCTCTTGATAACAGAAAATTCTTGCTGATCTTTGAAATCACATTTGAATTCTCCTTTCTGAATTTTCTTCCATCCTGCCTCTTAACCTATTATAGTAAACTCTTGTATTACTTTATTTTGTTCTTCAAATATACTTCGCATTTTTTTTACAGACTGATAATATTTCTTCTCTGGATTGTATCTATTTCTTCACTACATTGTGAGCCACTTAAATGAAAATCCCAAGCATCTACAGAGCCTGGTATTAGGGAGAGCATTAAAAATGTGAAAAATATTTTATACAGAATAATTATTTAAGGCAGGGAAATAAAAGCACAAAATCTGATAATTTGTAAAGTTTATGCTAACTAAATCATAGATGAAAGTTTCTATTCCACAATCAGAAACTAGTGTTTACTTTTAGCTGACTAAATGTATTTTAAAACTCATATTATTTATCTTTTAAAGATAGAATTATGATTTGTATATTACAAACTATTCTCTCTGGCCCACATGGGATTTGACTTTAATGTTCTTTCAGATATTAGACCTATTACACAAAGATACCTTCTATTAAGATTTTGAACTACCATGTGGCTTCTGTCACAAAAAGGCTATAGAAATAAATCAAATATGAAATTATGATTTTATTTAAAAGAGACATTATGTATAAACTATTCCAAACTATGTCTAGACTAAAGCGTATCCTAAAAAAAAATCTTATTCCATTTTTTATACACAAATGATAACAAAATGAAAAGTCCATTAAGTTAATATACATCAGATAAAACAAATGTAAATATTTCCAAATAATGCAAAACTTCCAAAATAAATTGATCTTATTTATTATTTAGGTTATAATATAAAAGAAAATAAGGTGAAACTGCATTTGTAGTTAAAATGTTTATGCCTCAGGCTTCTGTAGCAATATACCTGCAGTTAATGGAAAACTTTTTTAACTCAGGGATGTTAAGCACAATTTGTTTTTGTAGCTGAATTTAATTATAGAATTTTATTTTGAAAATGAGATAAATTATAGAACTTAGTTCTTTCTTCATATGCACTACTTTTTTTGAAGTACAAAGTGGAGGAAGCTTTCTACCTGTAAACTATATCTGCCCATGTCTATAAAAATCTGTATACAGATTTTGGTGCTATGTTTTTAATCAGTAATGCATTTACATTTTTATTACTTAAACTCTAACTTTGGAATATTTAATATTACATATCTATATTTTTGTCTAATTTTATATTTACATTTATGTCTTAGAATCTTGAAGGCATAGTATATACATCAATTTTAAGATTAGTAGATATTGGATTTGGGATAATATTTGATTAGGCTAAGAAATAAAGCATTCTGGCCAACACACATTTCCTATTAAAAAGATAATAAGTAAGCAGGGGCAGGGATAGATAAGGAGTTTGGAATTGACATGGACACCCTGCTATGCTTGAAATGGATAACCAAAAAGTTCCTACTGTATAGTAGAGGGAACTCTGCTTAATGTCATGTAGCAGCCTGGATGGGAGGGGCGCTTGTGGGAGAATGGATGGATATATACGTATGGCTGAGTCCCTTTGCTATCCCCCTGAAACTATCACAACATTGCTAACTGGCTATTCTCCAGTGTAATATAAAATGTTTTCTAAAGTTTAAAAAATATGAAAGGAATAATCACAAATGAAAATAACTTCTACTTGTTATCTTTATCTGACTTCTGTGGGAAAACCAATACTGAAATCAATTGAATTAGATGGGAGTTTGGCCTGAAACAGAGATTGAAGCAAAAAAGTTAACCTATATCTGAATCTTAAAATGAAAACTTTCTTCTTCATCTAAAGAAACCAGAAGTGACATGAAAGAGATAACCATTAGATTTTAGAATGCATCATACTTTGAAAATACTTAACAACAATGTTTTGAAAATAAAGAAGCTTCTGCTCTAAATAATGACCTAGGTGAGAAGATTCCTGGTTGCTATTTGCCTGAAAACAACTTCAGTGAAAGCAGGATTCAGAGTGCTAATAAAAATCTAAATCAGAAATAAATATTATAAAACACTTTATCATGTTTATTTAGCTTTCATTTACTAGGGACATTTTAATGTACTGTCAAGGAAATTTTATCAGAAGAATGTAATTTACACATCTGGTCAAATCTAAGTGGTTTTCCATAATTATCATTTTCAATTTTCCTCATTATCTTGTCATATTTCTACATCAGGGTGTTTTAGGCCTTTTGCTCTTACTAGTAGTCATTTGGGCATAAAGTAACTTAAGTGCAAGAAGGAAAAAAAAACCTTTAAAACTATTTAATGATGACTATGACAGTGATTAGTGAAACTGAGTTGATAACCTAATCGACAAATTGATTGTGCCAGGAATTGTCCATCACAAACCTAAAGCTATCACTCAGTATAAACTAATGAATTCTTGAAACATTTCATTTTAAATACAAAAATTATTATTAAATAATTACTATGTGTGAGCTAAGGAAAAGAAATAGAACCACATTATTTTTTTATGTGGTAATTATGATGTGAACTACTTTGAACAAAGCCTTCAAAACCCCACAATGCAAATACTGAGACATACAAAATGTACCTTCAACAAAAAACTAGGATAGCTTTTCTAGCAGGAACATCCATCTAACAAACAAGATTCTCACATAAGTTGTTATGCTGTACTGGTTCACTAAGAAAGCAGCAGAGGCAAGCTAGGAACCAATCTACACTGCACTCATTTAAGAATGATTCTTACCCTATTTCTCATGTCATCATTAGTAAGAAAACATTATTCTGAGAAAGCACTACAGCATATATGCAATCATCTGTACATGTGCAACATGTAATAAACTATAATTTAGTAACATATATTGATATATGAATATCAACAAGAGGCTAGACAGGAACTTTCTACCTCAATATTGGCTAAAATACAAATATAATGAATATCTGACAGCCAAGTACATGTGGGAAAGTCCTTACATATAGAATTAACAAAGGAAATGATAAAAATGGGTGTCATTATTTGTAAGACATTTATACAAAGTCTTAGTTACAAAAATAGATATGAGCAATGAGTAAAGAGAATTTGGGAAGTATTTTTGGAGAGAGCTTTCTGAGATATGAATTCCTAAGGAGAAGGAGCTCTATATGCTTTTACTCAGGTTGACAGTGCAATGGGACCACTCAGATTTCTGAAATATGCTTCCTGAAGTTTTGAAACACAGAAGCCAAGTGCCAGACTTCCACAGAGATCTGGAGAATAAACGATGGACTAACTTACTCCAGTATTCTTGCCCGGAGAGTCCTATGGACAGGGGAGCCTGGTGGGCTACAGTCCGCAGGGTCACAAAGAGTTGGACACGACTGAAGCAACTTAACGCACACAACTTACTACTCTGAAAGTGCAGAGAGCTGGTCTTTGGGGATCAATTTGAGATAGCCACTGTATTGACTGAGGTTTGTAATGCTTAGACTCAGCCTTTTTCAAGACAAAGTCTATGTTAACATAAGATCTTTGCTGTATAGTATGTACTGGGTATGTGGGGGAAAGGACAGGCATGGTTCCTATTCAGTTCAGTTCAGTTCAGTCGCTCAGTTGTGTCCAACTCTTTGCGACCCCATGAATTGCAGCATGCCAGGCTTCCCTGTCCATCACCAACTCCCAGAGTTTACTCAAACTCATGCCCATCAAGTCAGTGATGCCATCCAACCATCTCATCCTCTGTCGTCCCATTCTCCTCCTGCCCTCAATCCCTCCCAGCATCAGGGTCTTTTCCAATGAGTCAACTCTTCGCATGAGGTGGCCAAAGTATTGGAGTTTCAGCTTCAGCATCAGTCCTTCCAGTGAACACCCAGGACTGATCTCCTTTAGGATGGGCTGGTTTGATCTCCTTGCAGTCCAAGGGACTCTCCAGAGTCTTCTGCAACACCACAGTTCAAAAGCATCAATTTGAATACTAGATCCTTAATGGTTAAAGAAAGAGATCAAAGTGATAACCTAAAAAGGATTCATAGTCCCAGGTCAAAAAATCTGTAAGATGATATTCCCAGCAAATAACTCTCTAAAGATCCCACAAGAGAAAGAATCATCAGATACACACATGAATATAGTCAGCTTATCATGCAACAAATTCAAGTAAGGTCTTCCCTACTTTTAACTTCTACTCATCTTGCCTCATACACTTGTAAGCTTGCCTTTCACACCCACCCTAGGTCTCAATCAGAAATTGGTTAAAAAAAAAAGACAACTACAAGTCAGGCTTGCCCTTTCTTAAGCATTCAGGTGAAAGTACGCTCAAAATAGCGAAAAGGAAATTAAAATGTTTTAATCAAATTTGCATTGAGTACATTTTGTACCAGACATCCAAATGCCTTAGTCAAATTTGTGCTTGTAAGTGAAAGGGACAAAAGCATCATGTATTAATTAAGAGTGGGCAGAAAAGTCTTTGCGGTTATAGAGTAATGATAATTGAATCATCCTCCAAGTCAGAGTCCTCAGCCTGCATTGTATAAAAGCATGCTATTGCATAAGGGTGTCAAAAAAATTAAATATATGAATACTTGTAAGGATCTTGGAAATAAGCTTGGCATATAGTATATCCTCAAAAATATTAGTTGTTTTTATCATGCAATAACCTGCTGAGTTAATTTCATGTAGAACAAATCTTCCTTCTGATAAAAATGATCAAATAGTAATTTTCATATGACAAAATTGCCTTATCTGCAAATGTTTATAAATATCGGCTTTTTACACAATAGTGAAATGTGAAAACATGCAGAATTATTTACTATACATCTTAAAAAATAGGTAGTGCCCTAGAAACAGATTCAATTATTGCCTCAATAACAATACCTCAGATATCAATCCTGAAAAACTTTAATTTTCATTTAAATTACAATATTATGGGTGGTTTTATCTCTGTTATTTAAGATATATTTCTGTCTTCTGCTTGATTGTACTATAGACTAGTCATTCCTTTAACTTTGGATATTGTTATAGTTAGCACTTTTGTTTTCCCTTATCTAAATTTCTAATGTTCTATAAAAATGGTTTCAGTAGATTTTGTTATTCTTTAAGCTATTAGATGCAGGTCATTGGATATAAAATACATATTCTGGTTAGATTTGCCTAAAACTTTATTTTTCTCAGTTGACTCACAGTGATATATTTTAAACTAATCTAATTTCTGTCATTATAGCACACTCTTCATGTGGTAGAGACTTAACACCATCAGACCCTTGAATACTGACGAGACACAAATAATATAATTTTTCTTTGAATTCTGAGGTGAATATTTTAAGCTTCATTACCTATATTAGTTTAAATACTCACCTATCCAATTAGCACAAAGACTCTTAACTTCCCGAATTGGAAATGAGGAACACGACTTGCACTTGATTTTAGAATGTATGCCAAAAATAATTAGCTTCTGTAACAGAGAATGACTCTGAATTTATTGTCAGACATGACTATAGTATAGAAAAGTACTGCCAAAGCAAAAGAATTCTAATGCTTCAAGGACATAAAGTTTTGATTCAGCTCTCAAAAATAAAGTCAGAATATGCTTTAGATTTTGAGTTTACCACTGGCGATTTAATATGGTCTTAGACATTCCATAGTATGGAAGTCAAACAGAAAATTCAACCAGCGACCCTATCACCTTTCAGATGTGGGAGAAATCAGGGAAATCAAAGTTTGAATGAGATGTTAAAGCAGCTTTTTGTTTTCTTTTGAGGCACTTGATCTCTGGACATATCTATTCTTCACTATTTCTATTTTCCTCTTCATTGCTGTTCATACTTGTGGGGGCTATCCATTGCCATATGTTACTCAGCTTCATATTTATTGCCTACTCTTGAAATTAATTTTCTTCATTAATTTATGTGGTAATTAGTTAAGGGGTAAGGAAACTTACCCCTTCATAGATCACAGCCTCATCATGGTGAAGGGGTTTGCATAACTCAGTGAAGCCAAGAGCCATGATGTGCAGGGCCACTTGAGACGACGGGTCACAGTGGAGAGTTGTGACAAAATGTGGTCCACCAGAGGAGGGAGAGGCAAACCGATCCAGTATTCTCACTGCTAGAACCCCATGAAGAGTGGGAAAAGGCAAAAAGATATGATACTGGAAGATAAGCCCCCAGGTCAGAAGGTGTCCGATGTGCTACTAGGGAAGAGAGGAGGGCAAATACTAATAGCTTCAGAAAGGATGAAGTGGCTGGGCCAAAGCAAAAACAATGTTCAATTTTTCCGCTGAGTGCTGGGAACAATTGGCCATAGCAAACACCCTTTTCCCACAGCACAGGAGCTGATGTGTCTAGTGGTGGAAGTAAAGTCCAGTGCTGCAAAGAACAATATTGCATAGACTATGAGGTCCATGAATCAAGGTGCATTGGATGTGGCCAAGTAGGAGATGGCAAGAGGGAGCATCACCATCTTAAGAATCAGTGAACTAAAGTGGACAGGAGGGGAAAACTTAAGTCAGATGACCATTATATCTACTACTTCTCCCTTAGAAGAAGTAGCATAGCCCTCATAGTCAAGAAGAGAGTCCAAAATGCAGTACTTGGACACAATCTGAAAAATGACAGAATAATATGTTTGTTTCCAAGACAAACCATTCAACATCTCAGTAATCCAAGCTTATGCCACAACAACTGATGCCAAAGAAGCTGAACTCACTGGTTCTATAAAGATTTACAACACCTTCTAGAACTAACACAGAGAAAGACGTTCTTTTCATCATAGGGGGTTGGAAAGCAAAAGTAAGGAAGTCAAAAGACAGCTGGAGTAAGAGGTGAGCTTGGCCTTGAGTACTAGCTGAAGCTGGGCAAAGGCTAACAGTGTTTTGCGGAGAGAACACAGTGGTCATAGCAAACCCCCTTTTCTCAAACACAAGAGATGACTCTAAACACAGAAATCACCAAATGGTCAATAGTGAAATCAGATTGGTTATATTCTTTATAGTGGAGGATGGAGAAGCTCTATACAGTCAGTAAAAATAAGACCTGGAGCTGACTGTGGCTCAGATCATCAGCTCTTTATTGCAAAATTCGGGCTTAAATTGAAGAAAGTAGGGAAAGCCACTAGACCATTCAGGTATAACCTAAATCAAATCCCTTGTGATTATACAGTGGAGGTGACTGTATACAAGGGGATAGATCTGGTAGAGATAGAGCCTGAATAACTATGGACAGTGATTTGTAGCATTGTATAGGAGGCAGTGACCAAAACTATCCCAAAGAAAAAGAAATACAAGAAGGCAAAATGGTTATCTGAGGGGCCTTTACAAATAGCTAAGGAAAGAAGAGAAGTGAAAAACAAGGGAGAAAGGGAAATATATACCCATATGAATGCAGAGTACCTGAGAATATCAAGGTGAGATAAGAAGGTCTTCAATGAACAATGGAAAGAATTAGAGGTAAACAATAGAATGGGAAAGATTAGAGATCTCTTCAAGAAAATTGGAGATACTAAGGGAACGCTTCACATAAGGATGGACATGATAAAGGACAGAAACAGTAAGGACCTAACAAATGCAAAAGAGTTTAAGAAGAGGTGGCAAGAATACAAAGACGAATTGTATAATAACGATATTAATGACCCGGATAACCGTGATGGTGTGGTCACTCACCTAGAGCCAGACATCCTGGAGTGTAAGGTCAAGTGGGCCTTGGGAAGCATTACTAAAAACAAAGAGAGTGGAGGTGATGCAATTCCAGCTGAGCTGTTTAAAATTCTAAAAGAAGATGATGTTAAGGTGCTATACTCAATATGCCAGCAAATTTGGAAAACTCAGTAGTGGCCACAGGACTAGAAAGAGTCAGTTTTCATTCCATTCCCAAAGAAAGACAATGACAAGGATATTGAAGTTACTGGACAGTTGCACTCATTTCCCATGCTAGTAGGCTTATGTTCAAAATCTTTCAAGCTAGGCTTCAGCAGTATGTAAGTTGAGAACTTCCAAATGTACAAGCTGGGTTTAGAAAAGGCAGAGGAACTGGAGATCAAATTGCCAACATTCATTGAATTTTAGAGAAAGCAAAGGAATTCCATAAAAAAAAATGTACTCCTGCTTTATTAACTATGCTAAAGCCTTTAACTGTGTGGATCACAACAAACTGTGGAAAATTCTTAAAGAGATGAGGGTATCAGACCACCTAACCTGCCTCCCAAGAAATCTGTATGTGGGTCAAGAAACAACAGTTAGAACTGGACATGACACAACTGACTAGTTCGAAATTGGGAAAGGAGTATGACAGGGCTCTATATTGTGACCCTGTTTATTTAACTTATATACACAGTACCTCATGTGAAATTCTGGGCTAGCTGAATCACAAGCTGGAATCAAGATTGCCTGGAGCCATGTTGACAATGTCAAATATGCAGATGATACCACTCTGATGCAGAAAGAGAAGAGGAACTAAAGAGATTTAATGACAGTGAAAGGGAAGAGTGAAAAAGCTGGCTTAAAACTCAGCATTCAAAAAACTAAGATAATGGCATCTGGTCCCACCATTTTTTGGCAAATAGCGGGGGAAAAAGTAAAAGCTGTGACAGATTTTATTTGCTTGGGTTCCAAAATCACTGTGAATGGTGACTGCCACCATGAAATTAAAAGATGCTTGTTCCTTGGAAGGAAAGCTATGACAAACCTAGACAGCATATTAAAAAGCAACAATATCACATTGCTGACAAAGGTCTGCACAGTCAAAGCTATGTTCTTTCCAGTAGTCATGTACAGATGTGAGTTTGGACCATAAAGAAGGCTGAGTACTGAAGAATCGATGCTTTTGAATTGTGGTGTTGGAGAAGACTCTTGAGAGCCCCTTGGACTGCAAGGAGATCCAACCAGTCCATCCTAAAGGAAATCAGTCCTGAATATTCATTGGAAGGACTGATGCTGAAACTGAAGCTCCAATACTTTGGCCACCTGAAGCAAAGTGGTGGCTCATTGGGGAAAAACAAACAAACAAACAAATAAAACAGATGCTGGGAAACAATGAAGGCAAAAGGAGAAGAAGGTGGTAGAGGATGAGATGATTAGATAGCATCACTGACTCAATGGGCACGAATTTGAGCAAACTCAGAGCTAGTGAAGGACAGGGAAGCCTGGCATGCTGCAGTGCATGGTGTCACAAAGAGTCAGACACAACTTAGTTACCAAACAATAACAGCCAGGAGACTTATGGCTTCCCAGGTAGCTCAGTGGTAACTTGCCAATGCAGGAGACAGGAGATGAGAGCTTGATCCCTGGGTTAGGAAGACAGATCTCTTGAAGGAAGAAATGACAACCCACTTCAGTATTCTTGCCTGTATCATCCCATCGACAGAGGAGCCTGGTGTGTTACAGTCTATGCAGTCATCAAGTGTTGGGCATGACTGAGCATGCACACAGGGAAACTTACTGAAATGTGCATATGCCTCCAAGAAACTCATAGAGTCTCTTGTTAAATGGTATGCATTTACCAGGGTACTAAACCAGGGGAAGAAATATTTCAAAGATATGCTGTATATTCTCCTGTGGAGAGGTAGGAATACTGAATATATGAGTTCTAGATCAAATGGGCATAGTTCATCTTCTAGTACATTCAGGATGGTTCTATTATCATTCAAGGTATCCAGGGTCTCAAGCAGCAGCCACTCAGAACCTGAGTTGACCAACCATTTGTCTATATTCTTCAGGTCAGATGTGGGCAGGATGGGTTCCATCTAAGGGCTGTGAGAAACGACCTGTCCACGCCTATTGCCTACCTCCAAGTGGTATCCTGGCAATCTATGGCATTTCTTGACTTATGCAATTATCATTCTAATTTCTGTCTTCACCTTCAAACAGCATTCTCCCTCGTCTGTGTCTGAATTTCTGTTTTTAAAGGAAAAACAGTCATATTGAATGAACCCTAAGCCCAACTGACTTTAGTATGATCCCAGTTTAACTAAGAATATCTGTAACATCCTTATTCCCAAATTCACATCCTGAGGCACTAGAGGCTGGGACTTGCACTTATGAATTTGGAGGGAGACATTATTCAGTCCATAACACATATAAAAAGATTCTTGAAATACTAAATGCACAGACTTGGAATGACTTGAATGGATATGATGGATTGATCTCAGCAAAGAGATCTTCAGGACTGAGAGAAAAGAGAAGGCTGTGTGTAGGGCTTTGGAAATCCTTACAGTGGGAGGTCTGGCAGGCATTCAGGGAAGTGACCAGATTTCTTCAGAGTGTCAGAGGTTAGGGTCAGATGAGGATAATCCAAATGAGAATGATACAGAGCCGCAGAATCACAGAAGGAGAGTGTTGTGTCTGAGGAGAACGCTTCCTGAAGGAAGAAGTCTTAAGTGCCAATGGTTGCAGCTGCCCTGAGGCTCTTAGCCAGGTTTGCATTCAGGATTCTCTTTGTATAATGAGAACATTCTCTTATGGAGAACAATAGCTTTCCCGACATCTTTAATGAGCTACTGTCAGAGTGGGGATTGGCAATGAGAGCTCACAACTCAGAAATAAGCCAAATTCCTGGCTGTCTAGTCTATAGATACCACCTGTCTGTTTTCACTGGGAGAAAGAGTGAGAGAACACACATTTGTCTCTATAGGATTTTAACTTGGGGAATGTTTTGGATTGCTTATTCAATCTTGCTGTTATATTTTAGGGCTAAAAAGTTTTCTGGATCTATTTCACAGCAAATCAGGATCTACAAATTCCTGTGGTATGATCCTGTTACGAGACCAGCATCTAGGGAAGTAGTGTGACACATGAAAAGCCTGTCCATGATGTATCGCAGCCTCTGATTCTCTCCCCAAGTGTATGAACTTGAACAGCCATCAAGCTCTCTGAATTTCAATCTCTTAGTGTATAGAACTCATCTGACAGTAGAAAAATGCTTAAGATGTAAGATCATCCTTGCTATAGTCTCCTCTCCTTATATTTCCTAAATTAACTAAACATGGACTGAAAGGGTCTATGTAAAAGGGGCTCTATCCTAGGTATTCTCACAAACATTAATTATTTGTTTAATTTGGTGTAGTTGTAAGAGAGAATCTACTACAATGTACATTTGTGGAGCACAATTTAAAATTGATAGACTGCTGTGCACTGCAGTAAAAATATTTTTCTGAACTATCCCATCACGAGTCATGAAAGCAGAATGCACAATAACAGAGAGAAGCAAACCCTATTAAGCGAGTATTCAGGGAGAGATAAGACCTGCATAACTTTTCCCCCACACTTGGCACTAGAAATCTACCACAGATACTGCAGATTTTTTTAAATAGCAACTCTTGGAAGGATTGTCTACCTAGGTACTTGAAGCAAATGTCCAAAG